TAATCTGAAATGCTAGTATTTGTTCGTGGTAGTAAGTAGAAACGGAATGCAATGAACAAACGCGCTGGAACTAGTAATTTACGTACGAGTTCAGATGAAGATTTACTACTTTTTGAACACACACCTGACATTCATACTTCACACATTACTTTAATTCATCATTGTTCTAAAAACTGTCGTTACTTTTCCATTGTATCGCCTGTGAATCGAAACTATCCTTATTTCATCGTACAATATACGAGAGACATGTACGATTCACCCGTTGCCTTACAAAATCGAGTCAGACACGTGATAACAATTTCAACTGAATTTAAAATACTGTTTCGCTGATATGAACATTTAAGGTTCAGAATAAATGTAACACTTGTCATAAGAATAAAATTCCTTTTGAATCTGGGAAAATATTAACGATAAATTAATTTGTAAGAATGAAGTCGTACAAAAAAGATCATATAGCAAGGTGTAACAACTAAATTCCAGAAGACACTTTGAAATGATAATAAGATTCAGCGAACAACGTCGATGGAATTAATGCACTGTCAGTTTCTACGTCCTTGTCGGATAATTGTGTTCGGTAGAACCGTTCGTTTCAAAGATATGCGCGGCGACGTTTTAGAATAATATGTACCTACGTGACGTATCGTTGGTTCGGTCGACAACGGGCACACATCGCACAGAAGTCAAACAAAACGCGAAAGAACTCAAGGACTTCGCGTTCCTTCTTTTGCATACACTCCGGCAAAATGTTGCCGGCCACCAATGAGCATCGATACACGAACGGATCGCGTAACACTTTAACGTTACTTTGCTCATTAGTTTAATCACGCGATGCGATACTTGGTCGTCGAGATTATTACATAAAGAAAACCAAACCGTGTCGATTGGTGTGGGAATCTGATAGGCAGAGAAAATCTTCGAGAAATTCGGAATTTTCCTAATGCTTCGCTTAAAATAGAAATAAATAAATAGACTGGATCGCTAATGATCATTAAACCGTGTATATACCTATCGTGGCGTACTACCGTTACGGAACCGGCACGCGTTCCAACCACGGACGAAATATCCACGCACAATAAATCAACGGAACAATGCGTGTGTACAGAAGCGAAACAAATCGAGGCTCGTTCGCTAAAATTCCTCGTTGAAGCGCGGCGCGCGCGCTCGCGACGATCGTGTTTCTCGACACAGAAAGAAAGAAAGAAAGAAAGAAAGAAAGAAAGGAACGAAGAAAAAAACATATGCACATTTTTTATCGGCCGTCTGTCTCGATCGTTTTCGACGAGCGATTATTGAGTACTAAAACATGTGTGTTTCGCCACATGATGCGTTCTCATTAGGACTCAACGTTAAGTTAACGCTACATTTTACTCGCAATCTTCTTCCAGTGAATTTACATTATTGAATTCTGTTTTTCAAGGTTGCAGTTATAAAAGAGGATTCCAAAGATTTGCTTGATATTTGATGAAACTTGGGGGACGAAGTTGGAAACACTTATTTTGAAAACTGAAAGATCCATCTTCTCGCATTTCTATATTTGATTTTGTTTGTATGAAGTTTTATGAAAAGGTGATAATACGGTTTCATAATTAAGGTTTCAGAGTAATTATACAATTGTTGTCAGACTATTGGGTAAAATTTGGGCCCCTTTCCCTATATTCCTTCTTATGCACTTTTATGAGTAATAATTAATTATATGTGTAAAAATCGCTCTGTTTCATTACTTGGGACTCAATGGGTTAAAACTGTCCCGCGCGCGATCTAACCTTAACTGACGCTCGATGTCAACACACGCGTGTCTCGGATAAATCCTCGTTCGGACCTATAAAACGTATAGATAGCACCAGTAGCATGGTTAATTAGGAACTTGAGAAATTCGTTAAACGACTTCGGCTCACGGCACTTCGCGTGCGTAGACGTGCGTGAAATGAGAACTGATTAAGCATTAATTAAGTAGGTTATAATTAAAGGAGTACACAGCCGGTCATCTGCTTCGTTTTTTTTCTCTATTTCTTTTCGATCCTGACAGGGGCGCGGAAAAATAAGAATGCACGGTTGATTCCGGGATCTGTTAACGTTGTTCGCGGTTGAAGGTATGAAAAATATTCGAAGTAACGGATGTAGATGGGAATATATTCGAAATGGTAGTTTTATGAGCGTGTAGAAGAAAAAAAAACGATAGCGGTTCTCACTCTGGTCATTAGAATTGGAGCATGACTGAATGCAATTAAAATTAGTACGAAGATAGATTGACGCTTCTTTAAATAGTAGGTTGAAAATATTCTCCTGGAATTCACGGATGCTCACGACATGTGTACGTACATTGAAAAGAAGAATCTTGTATAAGTAGTATGTACATGGAAAAATTATAACCTAATAATAATAATTGATGTACGATTATTTGCGACCAGAGTTCCAATACCATTTTTTGTTTAATATGTATGTAAAATCCTATTGTAAGCGAATAGAAACGCAACGGTGGAATAATTTGAAATGCAAAACGTCTTATGAATACTTAGACAAATAATAGTGCTTCCGCTGATTGGAATTGGAAAACGATTGCATGCAATTAAAATGAAACTGTAAACAGGTGAACGCTTCTTGCAGATATACGGAAATAGAATTACAAGCGACTATGGAAAAATAACAGAAGTTTATGGATCTTCTAATAATTAGAAATTAAACCATTGTGAATACTTGTGATACCGCTTAAATATTTAGTATTTCATCGCTTATGTTTGGAACAGAGTACAGTAAATCTACGATTAGTGTTCGAAGGTGCCTCGGGCCTGACAACGAAAGGTCACCAGATGTAACGGCGACTTTTTAATGAGATTTAACACAGTGATAGAATTTGGAATTCTAAAGCCAATGATGTTTGTTTCAATCGCCTATGGCGAGTAGTTTGTGAAATATTTCAAGTTCAGTGCCGAGAAACCTTCGGACACTCATTGAGGATTTACTGTAAATGAGGTAATTCAGTAAACCAGCTATCATATAGTAAAATAATGCATCTCAACAAAAAACCTGAAATAAGTTATATGAAGTTCCAATGCGTAAAAGAATAGCTAATGTTACGACAAACAAAACATTTCAGGCAACAGTAGCCGTATATATTACAATTTTAAACCGTATAAAATTGTTTGCATAAAGCCGCAATTACATGTATAAAGCTTCTGAAATTTCTAAGTGATTTTCACCGAGTCTCCGATGAATCTTCTGTCCCCGTCATATGAACGGTAGGTACTTAAACGCCCATAACACGGTAAGCAATTTCAGCTTCGATGTCAAACGAAAATGCGTGCACACAAAGTGGCAGGTGAAGTGACATCGGATATCAACCACAGTCGGGATATGCACCTTTATTTTATTAATAGTGATGGCTCAGACGGTAGACGCAGCGCGGCCACGTATATTTATGCAGATAGGTATTTATTCATTCTATTCAACAACACGTACGCGGACTACCAGCGACTATTCAATGCCCGTCACCATCTTCGGGCGTATTCGTGCCACCTTGCAACAGCGACTGGGCATTGCAACCTGACCGATCGATTTATAGATTCCTTTGACCGATATCCGTCGATACCAAGGCATGACTGAAAAGAATCGGAACACGATAGCCTGTCATGTCGGGCTAATCATTCTGTCGATAGTTAAACCGCGGAATGAATTACACGACCCCTTTCCGATCTCTGTACACACAACACGTGCCATTCGTACGAGTTTTCATCGTGGATTTACGGATACACGGTGAAAACATTTTTGCAGGAGAAACTATCGGTTGTCATTCTTTTGATTTTTTAAGTAACTTCGGATTAACATTAAAACTACCCTAAGATGAACGTGTTCCTATTGCCTACTACGTTGGTAAAAGGGATAGCTTCTTGAAAATATGCAAATCGATAAATTAGCGAACTCCTGGAGTTTTATATTGCAATAAAAATTGCGAAGAATCTCAGAAAATACACTGTCAGAAATACAAATCACTTTAACGACCTTTGCACAGGCTTGTCAGACAAATACTTTCAATTGAAACTATAATGCCGGATAATCGAAGAAAAGGAAAACAATGGATTGTCTGTTAATATTATCAAGAGAAACGAAATTCTGCATTGTTTCGAACGGACATGTGGAAAATGCTAAAGTACTGCTCACGACGACACAATTTTTTTCTACTTATGTAAACATTACAATAAATTACTGGCTTAATGGCAAGTCACCGAACGTGTGCATTTCATTATTCAAGCGACACGGCCGTGGATGCATTAGACGGACACTAGAAATGACCAGGTAAATTGAAATTATAATTCGCTGCCGGCGATAAAGATGACGAGTGCAACACTCGAATGCAAATGCAGCTGGTCACACACGGGCGCAACGCGATTACTCATCGGGACAGCATGACTTTTAAACGTCGTGTACGACCAAACTTGCAGAACGTTTTGCAACTGTGTCCTTCTCCTAAAATTAATCGAGCGTTTCTACCCTTCCACTGATAGATACAGACCGAATCAATAAATAGAAATATATAAAACAAATTTATAAACGTGAACAAAAAATTATTTTCCACGTATTGTCGAAATTCTATATCACATAAAATATAACATCGCAAGACGTTAAATTCATCAGAAACGTTGTATCATGAAAATTAACGCTTTAACGGTGGAATTCTATTTTGAAAATGTGTATTTGCGTGGGTAATTAAAATCAAACGATGACGAGCATACTCGTCAAACACCGTTCAAGGATTAAATGATATAGAAGAATCGAGGCCCTAAAAGAATAGAACAATAAAAAACTCTGAAACAAACAAAGTGTTTATGTGACAAATTTCACCGTTTTCAACGAACACGAAAAGTAATGTTCCGTTTAATCACGGTAATCAAACATGCAAACCCGTGTGTATACTGCCGCCAGGCTTCCAGTTCCCGGATTAAGTTAATCCTCGTATTACCCCGAATTACACCAGAATAACATTTTAATTGCACGTGTTACGATACCTGGAACGGAATATGGTACATTTTGCGGCTGTGGTGCCCAGTAGGCCTGACTGATTGCAGGATAATGACTCTTTGCTCCGAAGCTGGGCCCGGTGTATTGTTTCCGGCTCTTCATCGCCATCGTCGCTGCACGTGCTCCACGCGCGGGAAATTCGAACCGCCCTGGCGGGGAGGGCCAACCGCGTCGTTATCGATCCGCGTTATCGGACGCCACTCGGTTACTCCACGTCGACGAAACTTCACAAAATCACTATGAAAACCATTGGACCACGGGATACTTCGAACTTCAGCAATGTTCTCGCGTTTCGTTCTTCGCACCGTTTCCCCCTGCACTTTCACGCGAACTGAACCGAACGTCAACAATCACTCGATTCAAATCGAAGAACGAATTCTCGATCTCACTAAAGAAAAAAACAATGAAAAAGGAAGACGTTCTCCAATCCCTGTATTTTTATTCACGATCCTGGCGCACGTTGCATGTCCCCTCTCAGCGCGCACGAAAACTCCGTCTTACGTAATCGTTCACTGTTGCTTATGCAATGCTTGAGGTAGAACAATCGTGTGACAACAACAATCGCCGGGTAGCAACCGTGTGTGGACGGCCGGGCTGTTCGTGTGTCTGACAAGCGGCGACGTATCGACCTGTCCGGTCGCCCCGATGTTCTACGGAAATCAAGGCGACCTGTGTCTGCTAAACGAGACGATGTTTCTTTCCATCGGACCCGTGGCCCAATCACCGTTCCGTTCGATCGACCATCCTCCACTCGGTGGTTCCGAACGTGGTTCAACGTCGATCGATCGCTTAGACAATTCTCGATCCTATTTACAAAGCGTGATCGAGGCAAGTCCGTGGACGACAAGGCTGTCCGTTGGCGTGAAGAGTGGTTCTGGTCGAGCACTCGAAAATAGATGCTCTCTGTCCACTGTTCCAGGAACAACCTTTTCTGTGTCGTGTCCCAGTGAACAATAATAATAATAATAATAGTCGGTTGTTAACATGCAACAACGACGAGAACAATGTGAAAATTAATAATGCACCACACGGCACACGTTCATAGATACAAAATCGACGGCCACACTAATCAAGATTGTTTTCACCGATCGCGATCGATCAAACTAACCACCGGCACCGTCCTTCGATGCACACGACGGACGACGTCACTTCACCAACAACGTACGCGTGTAGTGTGTATATATACCATGGAATGAATCCGTGCGCGGCGGCGGCGGCGCACGCGCGTCAACACGCTCGCGTGTGTGCACGGTTCTTGCCGGGAACCGTGTCGGTCGCGGGTCTCTCTGTCGCACAGGAAAAACACGCGCGACCCGTCTCCGTGTGGTCGTCGTCTCTCTACCGGTCGCCGTCCGTGGAACGAACGAACGGTAGGACACAGTTCGTCGCTCGACACTCAACAAGTGAGAGAACCGGCGTTCGCCTCAAGCTTCCACCGCCACTCGTCACTTCGTGCTTCTTCGTGCACTCACGACTATTCCTCTCTTCTCTCGCCCCACTCCCCGTCTCGCCCACACCGCCCCCTCTTCTGTTTTCATTCGAGCCCACTCTGTCTCTCTCTTTCTCCCTCTCTCTTCCTTCGTCTTTCTTCCCCACTCCTTACCATCGTTTCTTCTCCTTTCCTTTCCACTGCTTTTTTTGCCTCTCCATCCGCTACTTCTCCGCTCTTCGTCCCGCTAGCTGCCGTACTCTTCCTATCCGTGCATCAAACGTCGTTCAATTTCCGCTTATGAGTTTCGCGTTCGCATAAGTTCGTAGTTTCATTCTTAGTGTCACCCCCCACTACTTATATTGCCGCAACTCTCGCTCTCTCTGGAGGGCAGATGAATTTCTTCGAGGGTTGTATAGCCGTCTTAGCGGTTCCTGATACTCTACCGAGGCAGCTTTTCGCCGGTTTTAGCTGGGAAGTTACTACTGTTGCATCTATAGATTGTTGTCGCGCCTGTTTCCTTTTTTTGTGCGGTCGTTTGTAGTCTTGAGGAGGACTGAACGATCGTGGCAGCCTTTTATTGGATCAGCCAGAGGATAAATGAGGCATGACTCCTTACTTACGTTTTACAAGGGCTCGAAAGATTTGGGACTTTCGATGGTGTACGGTCGAATATTTAACCCTCAAAGACACGGACCGTGACTACGTCATTCCTCTTTTTTGTAATTTTAAAAGGCAACAGCAGGCTCTTTGTTTATCGTTTAATTGAATAATTTTCTATTTTTTTTTTAATAGTAGATAATTGGGATGCAAAAAACTTTTTCGTGTAAAAGAAATTTAAAGAAATAGAAGACTTCTTCGTAGCAATGGCGTATGGTATTGTCAGCATACGCCACCCGTGTATTTGAGGGTTAAGGATGGAATCAGAGACTTAATACCGGTATGATTTTGATACCGATATATTACCGGGACTCAAAATAAGTACAGGTATTTTTTAGATTTTTCTATAGTATACATGGTAGGTTCAGATATTAACCGAAACCGATATATTACCAAAAACCGAAATAAGTACCGATATTTTTTCGGCTTTTCTGTAGTATACATGGTAGGTTCAAGTATTACCGAAATCAAAATAAATACCGATATTTTATAACCAACAAATAATAACGTATTAAAAGACTGAAACTAACACTAACATTAATGAACTAAAAATAAACTAACAAACTAATAGTATACTAATAAAGTTCAGACTGTCGAGCCTCCACGACCACGCTTCGCCACCCATCTCGACGCCAATTTTCAATTATTAAAATCATCGAGATTAGATCGTCAGACAAATTATAAGAATCATCGAACAAAAATGAATAAAGATCGATCGAGAAACATAATAAAATTCGCATATCTATCATATCATTTAACCAGATTCAAGCATCAAATCCTCTTTCCTAAAAAAATCCAAAAGAATCATACACGCAGGGATATAGTATTTATTTATTTATTGATTTACTTAGTTATTTACTTATTAATAGGATAAATACCTGTTAGTGCAAAAGTTATCATATTATTCTGCGAATTCTCAATTATTCTTCCATTGGCACAAATATTACTTTTTCGTCCTCAACGATTTTAGAATATCACTCGGTTCAGCTAACGTGCACGGGATTTGTTAACCCGTTCGTTCCCAAATTATCGAACCATTACGAACAAATATTTCTTTTTACATTTCTGTCTATACATATTACACGACACATAAATTATTCACAAGAATATTTCAACATTTTGAAAGCGTTTAGTGCCATTTCTCATTCATTGCCATTTGGCAACTTTTTTACTTCTACCACAGTTATGTACAATAATTGAGATTATAAACTTTTTATACGTAATAAAACCCATCTTTGTTGCCTTTGATCAGTGAACCCTCTTGAAATATTTAAAAGAAATTACGGTTTTATAAGTTCATATTACATTACTAACAATGCTCAACACATGGATTCCAGCAAATTAAAGAAACAAAGAACAATAATGTTTTATCTCACCGATAAGCCTTTAAAAGCATATATAAATTTGTATCATACCATCTATATAAGACCAGAACAAATTATTATATGTATACTCACAGATATGAAAAAATGTACGATTACTAATATTTTATTTCGTAATTTAGAATACGTAGCCATATAGCAACAGTGGGGAGGAAAAGGTTAACTCTCATGCGATTGCAAAATCGCGGAAGTGATTTCATAATTCGTGAAAATTCAAGAGGGATCGATGTCCAACAGATGATCGACACGACCACCCACACGCGTACACGTGACTCGGTCAAAAGATTCGAGCGTGAAACGCCGTGGAATAAGTCTTACATTCCGCGCGGGAAGGAGGCGAAAAAGGCCCCTTTGACCCGTTCGTACACGCACGTGCGCGGGAACGAATTTCCAAGACGGACAACGTTGGTTTCTCGCCTCGAGATGGCTCTTTTTGTTTCAACTTGACACGAAAACAGAGAATAGCAGCACACGAGTGAAATACTGCACGTTAATAGATTTATTCCGACGTTAAGTAATGCAACGACCACGCACACGCTTCCTAATCGTGCGAACTGATAATTTGCCCCAGCGAATAAATTATTAACCGCGATAATAGAAGGACACGAATGGTTTTACGTAAGAAACGGTAAAAAGTTAATAGAAGAATCGTGTTTGTCGACGGTGAAACGATCTTTGTACATTTTGCATCGTTCGCCGTTGTTATATCAGGTGAAGGATGAATAATTGTATTATGACAATCGTAATTGAGTTATGGCGATAGGTTTCATCGTTGATAAACGGTAATTGATATTTGTGATGGTCCGTGCATGGAAAATGTATATACGTGGCGACGCGGCCAGAAATATAATTGTACATGTTTACGAGGAAGGTTCTCTGCCAACAGACACCGAACCGATGAGTCATGGGTATGAACATCGCTGATTATCAATTTGTAGGCATTTATTTGGCACGAGGTTGCCGGTATAACAATGACCGAATATTCTATATATTTTCCGTCGATATTTAAAAAAATAGTCTTGAAAATTCAGACAATACCCTTCGATCATTCGTCTTGTTAGGACTCGTGACAGTGTAAAATTTGCTTGACCAAAAATTTGTTGGTATTATAAATTCATTTTTGCGGAATAATGTTGCTTCTATTCGATCCGAAATTTGATCAAATATCAGTTATGCGAGTTAATTGAATTTTTGCCTCTAGTTTCAGTAAGTCAGGAGTTTAAACTTCATTCTTTTTGGAAATACAGCTTTTGATTAAAAGTGTAAGACCACATTTCACAATTAATGTTGTAGGAAATTAGTATTTCACGAAGAGTTAAAAACTAAGGTACCAAAACTGAACAGACGCAGTTTATACAGGATGTCCCAACTAATGTGAGCACCTTAATATCTTGCTTTTGATTTGCAGAAAATTTATTTTATCAAATGCTCAAAGTGGTGTCCATCAACTTCGATACATTTCTGCAATAATCCCTCTATAGTAGTTATTTTATTATTTAAATCTATTCCTTTAAATTTGTAGGTTTTTCGTATTCAAATTCACATGAAGTTATACAGTTAAATCATTCGATTGGTCTTGAGTCAACTATTACAACACGATAGTAAAAATACGTAGTCTCATTTAAAAAAAATATCCATGACCTTGAAATTTCGGAAAATATGACCTTGCGAAAATTTTTGACTTATCACAGTACTTACTCCTTCTAACCAAGTAATATTCTTCCCACACATTTTTTTTTATCTTAAAAAATAAGTGAGATATTGAAGGTGCTCGCGTTAGGTGGGACACCCCGTATACTGATTGATTCCATATACCTTCTATTGCGTCGTTCAAAATTAACATTTTATTCTCTCATTAATCATGAATCAGCTTCATACTCTTCGGGGACAAAGTACACATAATGCACCCATTAAACGTGATAGAAATCGAACCATGACGAAACAGTGAATATTTAAATAATTCATAAACTTAGAAATGTCTTCGAAATTCTGTCCTGTTCCAAAGCCAGAATGTATAAAGTCATACTTTTCAAACTTTAGAGGAGAACAAATCAATAATGCACAAACCTTGTAACGTTGGAACTGTTCGGTAAGAATTTAACGAGGAACAATCGCTATCTTCGAACAGTTAAGACAAGTTCTTGATGTGTAGAAATGGCAAACATTGCATTAAATCCCCTACGTGATAGATTTCACATTATTTGGCTCTGTTCAAGATACGGACTTAATACAATTTTTAAGCCTTTATATTAAAAAATAAACGACTTAGAACGAAATAATTCTTACTATTAGAAAAAATGAAAAA